AGTCCACATCACATGACATTTCTTAGTAAATGTCCATAAGAACTTACTGAGTTTTGATGATTTGTGAAAAGCTTTATTAATATTTTCTTGAAGATTTTGTGACTCGAAAAATGTAACTCTCAAGAACACGTCTTTCTGTTTCCATTTGAATTGAAGTTAGTAAATCAAATATACAGTGGAAATATGTTTCGCCTTTAAAAATCCCTTTGCAAAAATAACTGATTATTTGATATTTAAAAATCGTGTATATTTTACTTCAGAAAAATTGCAGATTTTCTGAATCAATTTTAACCTTTAAGGATCTTTATAAAGATAGTTACTGTGAGAAAGTATTAAAAGTCATTGGACTCTTAAAGAACAAACCAAAAATTGAATATTAAAATGTGGGTAATATATAAACATGATAAAAATATTTTACTAAATCATATCTTTAAAAATGATTTAATTAACAGCAAGGAAAAATTACTAGATTATTTATATGAGCAAGGAGCAAACTATAATCAAGTTCAAGTAACAAAAACTTTACATAAAACTTTCTAAACCCACTAAACAATGTAAAAAAATCTTTAAGTTCTTATCGTGTACAACATTTTGTTTCAAATTTTTATATTAGTTTTAAGTGTTATTCATTGTAGCTCCCAATTTCTGGTGTTTCATAGAAAAGATAACTTTATGTAAAATACAACCATGATCTAACATGTGGCAATGGTGTTTTATTATATGTAGTTTCCCTTTTATAGTTCCAGTCACTTCTGAATTACAAATATAACCAACTGACTTTTTGCCTTAAAATAGGTAGAAAAATTAGTCACAGCACCAATAGTAAAAAAGTATAAAATCAAAAATGATGATAGTAAAGCTGTTTAGTATTTATAAGTCTATTATTGCTAGAACACTTAATCTCTAAAAGGGTTTGTAATTGCTCATTTATGACAAGCACTGGAATGGTGTGATGTGTAAAACATAAAAATAAGGAAAATGGGGTATCAAAGTGAATATTTTCCCCACTTGAATTATTATTATCAATATTAGTCTTTACAAAGATATAGATTCAGAATGAATTAATTTCATGACGGATTTTGAGAGGTTACAAGAAGTTTCTTTCCGGCACAATCAAAATATTATCGTAGCAATTCAGATTGTCAGTAAAAGCTTAAACAAATTTGTTGATAATCCTGTTAATGACCTAGGTCAAGTGTTAACTGTTGTGGGTTATAAAATAGTGAAATTAAGGTTTCTCCTACCTTCAGGCAAATAGCACAGTTATAACTGTTGAGGGGGATATAGGGGCAAGCTATTAGGAGAGCTATTAAATTACAAAGATGTATAATGCATTCAATTATTTAGTCTAGCATGAAGAAATGCTATTAAAAGCAAATGTAAACCCTCCTCCTCCAAAAAAAAAAAAAACCTATAAAGATGATATGATAGCTTAGTTCTCTATTAATGTTTCAATCACACTGTGTTCTTATTTGAGGATAAGTGTTTATGTATGAAAAGTGATGCCAATTCATAGTAATTTGTAAAAAGGGAAAAAAATTGCTATTTATTTGTCTCCAACATTTGCCTAATACTCAAAGGGAAACATATAACATTCATCTACACGTTTTACTTTTAAGCTATAAAGAATCACACAATCACATAGTCTCCTCTAGCATTTAGGAGATTTATGTTCAGGGAAATGCATTTCATAGAAACAGTGTCCCAGCTACTTAAAAAAAAAAAAGTCTTCCAAAATAAGTAGTGTATATATATATATGTAGATTTAATTTATTCAGTTCTACTTTGAAAACTCAGATTTTCAGTGTAAAGAGCTCTGTGGGTAAATGTTAATCCAATTTATGAACACTTTTGGATAGAAAAATGATTTAGTGTATTATATACTGATGAATAAGCAGTGCATTTTGCCTCAGACTTTAATACTGCTTCAAATGTATGAAAGTATTTAAAGAGAGTACTTTATCCAATTCTAAAAAGGTCGAACTAATAACAGTAACTTCATTTTATATCAAGTTTTAATCTCTTTCCAAAGGTATTTTCATTTATCATTAATAATCTATCTGAGATGGAAACAGGGAGAAAATATATCAACTTTTAAAGTCATACATAGTGTAGCAATCATATTTTGCCATGAAACGCAGTTGATTTCCCATTGGAAGTCTTTTCTTATGTCATATAAACAGAAAGAGCTGATAAGATTTTAATGAAGTTTTTATAAAGTTCTGTTTAAGTATATAAGCCAGTTCTTGAGTTAAGTGGTCATTGAATTATGAATGTGCATTATCATTGAGGAGACCAGTGATGGAAAATTATTTGTAACTGTATTAATAAAAGGGGAATTAAG